TACTTTTCTGCACATGTAAAACATGAACATATTTTGTGTTCACCAGTTATTCATTTTTTTTCTCTGATAGTTGTGCTGCTAATGGAGAGGTAAACACATTAAACTAATTTGTCAGTTGAACTTACTATTAGCACTACAACTATGAGTGTAAAAATTGAAATGTAATTAACACTACGGCGCTCTATTGTTCATTGGCACCCGATTTTCTGATGGTTGCAAAAAATGGCACTTAGTGTGTAAAAGCTTGCTTGACCCCAGTCTAATTCAGCTCACCTCCTGGGTGACACGGGACCAGTGCATGGCGCGCGCGCGGGAAAGACGCATAACTTAAAAACCGGCAGCGATGCCTGTTAACATACAAGCGATCCGCTGGCTATAGAGCCGGCGGATCGCTTGTATGGGGTCCCGATATGTACCGCCCCCCTCTGCGGCTCCAACCCCTACCGCCCCCCCGCTTTCACGCTGATCCCGGGCTCCGCTGTGCCCAGTGCGAGCACGGGACCAGCATAGTGGCTCTCTGACAGGGGATTAGAGGGAGGTCGGTTCACGATCCCTCTGGTCCCCTCTCCGCTGTCAGAATGCGGAAATGGTGTATATTACATCACTTCCGCATTCTCGTGTCACTCTCCAGCTTCAGAAGCTGGAGAGAAGCTGATGAAGCAGATCTGTGCTTCATCAGCTTCTTTTGGGGGGTCCTAGGTGACATTAGGGGTCTCCATAAAGAGGGCTTTTTACCTCTTTTGCTATCACATATAGGGGTTTCTTAGCCCCCTCTGTGATAGCAATAAAGTTAAGTGAAAAAACAAATAGGAAAAAAATTTTAAGTTTCCCAAAAAAATGTTTTAAGTTACACATAAAAAAGAATTTAAAAAAAATTTTTTTTTTAAAGTCCCCACCCATACATACAGGTTGGTTCTAAACCTGTGGGTCGCTGTGCAAGGTGAGAGTCCTCCTCAGCTCTCTCCTAGCGCAGCAGTGTCAGTTCTCCTGCCACCAGATGTCGCTGCAGCAGCCGCGTCATCCCTAAATTTTACCTTTGGGGGTCACCACAACTTGGCAAATGTTACCAAGGGGTCCCGGCCCTAGAGAGGTTGAGAACCACTGGATTAACTGATAGTTCCCATACACTGCACGATTATCGTACGAGAATCGCGGGAAATCCCGTGATCGTAAGATATGGAAGGCGTGCGACCATTTCTACTGTACGGTCGCACGTCTTCCGTCGAACCAGCAGGCTGGAAAACCCGGCGGGAATCGTACGATTCTCGGCGAGTTAGTGGCCTGCTTGTTCGACAACTGCCGAACGGGCCGGTGTACGCACACTGCCCGTTTGCAGTCATCGGAAGCCCGCCCCTCATTGCAGTCATCGCAAGCCCGCCCCTGGGGGGAGGGCTTGCGATGATCGCAAGTACGATCTGCCTGTCCAAGATGGACATATTGTACCTTTTTTTAATTACTTTACAACCCTCGCAAGACAAAAGTCTTGCGAGGGTTGTAAAGTGTATGGCCACCTTAAGGATGTAAGAAAGAATTAAGGAAATAGAAAATGTAAACAAAACAAAAAAAAGCAATAAGGGGGACAGAGTGTATGTAGCATATTTCCTTATGTGTAAAACATAACCTTACATTTTTATTTAAAAAAAGGTAGAAATGGGGAAGTGGACTTACCGTAGGGGTTTTCCATTTTTTTGCTTATCCAGTAACAGTGCTAGCTAACGTTTTTTTAGCCATGACCCAATAAAGGTTTTGATTGATAACCTGTAAATCCATAGTACTAGGATACTAACATCTACCAATGGCTAGACGTGATAGATGTAAAATTGCCTTGCATGGAGATTTGATGAGATTAATTTTAAAGTATTAGTTATGAAATAGAGATGGGCCCCATAACAATGGATCTTGGGACAGGGCTGCCAGATACATAACATGGTTCCATGAACTTACTTTACATTACAGTATATATCCTGTATATCAGTGGAGCTTTCAGAGATGTTGCTACAAATTTAGAACTGTCTTTTGTAATCAAATCATCAAGTAAACCTCATGCATCATATAAGAAACTTTGATAAAATGAGGAAATGATTGTAGATAGCAGAAATATTGTTTGCCTCCAAGAGATTTTGCCATCATTTCCTGTCTACATGTATGTAATTAAATTTCTAGTTAGGGTTCCCTGATGGTGTTTCTGGTTTCCATAATGTGTGTTGGAATGACCACTTGTAGTGTCCATTGGAAGCTGGGGTGACAATGTGTAAGCACAATTGTGATAAGGGGCTAAGGAAACTAGCATTATAACAAGGAGGTCAGCAACTGCAATTCATGTACTCATCTTATGACAGGTTTTATAAAGTAGACAGTGGCTTCTTTTAATAAAGAGATGAATGTGTTTGTGAAAATAATCCCATTAAGAGCTGCACTTAATAAAAAAAAAATGCGTCCATATATATATACCGTTTATGGTCAGTAGGAGGAAAAACGTTCCCCCTTCCTGGACAGTTAGAGGAAAAATGCCCCACTGTCAGTGGGAGAAAAATGTTGCCCCACTGTCAATGGTGGTCATTGGGGTACAATTTCCTCCCCTGCACTGATCATCAGTGGGGTACAAATCCCCTGCTGCCGTGCATTGGTGATGAGAGAGTTTGGATCTCCCTCCCTCCCTCTGCATAGTTGGTTGGTAGGTTGAAATTAACCCTCTGTAACCTTCCCCATCATTGGTGGTTAGTACATTGAAATTACCCTCCAAGTATTGGCGGTCCATGAGTTTGAATCAAACGCCCTGCCCCAGCATTGGTGGTCATTGACTTTAAAATAACCACTCATCCCTCCCTTTTCCCAGCATTGGTGATTAGTGGGCTTAAATCCACCTTCGTTCCCATTGGTGGTCAGTGAATTTATATCAAACCCCCTTTATTTGCAAGCATGGTTAGTGGTATTAAGTTACCTCAGTAGAAGCATCATGTCTCGCACTGCTGTATCTCTGAATCTTCCTACTGAGTAACCAACAGAACATGGGGATCTGAGACAGTTTGGGAATCTGTGCTGCCAGGGCCTGTGCAGTAGCTTCCTATAGTGTTCCATTGGGGTCATCTCCTGAGTGTCTACTGTCTGTCTCTGATCAAAACCACTGTTTTTCCTTATGTTATAATAACAGTACCCTATATTATATATGTATTTTAAAATAGAGATTTCTTTAATAAAAAGTACATGTTACCACACTATTACACAGACGGCCATGCAGTATTCGGTCTCTATATGCACAAATGCTGCATAATAATGAAGCTTTCTGCTAGCCATCAGATATGTTGAAGATTTCATCTGATCTCCTACTCATATTATTATTATTATTATAATACAGGATTTATATAGCTCCAACAGTTTGTGCAGCACTTTACAATATAGGGAAGACATTACAGTTACAATACAAATCACAACAAGATGGTTAAGAGGGCCCTTCTCATGAAAGTTTACAATCTAAAAGGCAGGGGCAAGTGATACAAGAGATGGTAGCTGTGTGGGGATCAATTGTGTGATAAAGTGACAGTTCAGTGGTTAGGTTGAGGCGTGATAGGGTTCCCTGAAGAAATGAGTCTTTGGAGATCGCCTAAAGGCAGGAAGAGTAGGAGCTAGCCCTACTGGTTGGGGTAGGGAGTTCCAAAGGGTGGGAGAGACTCTAGAGACGTCCTGGAGGTGACCATAGGAGGAGTTGACGAGGGAGCTAGCGAGCAGGAGGTCTTGGGAGGAGCGGAGAAGACAGTTAGGGTGATGCTTTGAGACAAGGTTTGAGATATAGCCGGGGGCAGATTTGTGGATGGCTTTGTACGTGGTTGTTAATATTTTTAATTTTATTCTTTGGGCTATTGGAAGCCAGTGCAGGGATTGGCAGAGGGGGGTTGCAGACACTGAGCAGTTGGTTAGGTGGATGAGTCTAGCAGCATTCATTAAAGACTGTAGGAAGGATAGCCTGTCTAGAGGTATACATTTATTGGGATGAACAGAGATGACTCTGCACTCCCATTAATGGCCTCTTAGTCGGCGGGTCTACTAACTTCATTAAAACACATATACATTTCAAGTGAAAAGTTCCAAACAGTCAGATCACTGGGTGTATTGCCAGTGTAAGTGTGCGCACATACAATTTTAATAGACAATAATAATTTGTTAATAAGTTTATCTTTCACAGACCACTTTTCTGACCAGTTTTCGAATACAGTTATGCACTGAATTAACTGTCTCACAATCTAGCCATTTTCACCCAGATCAGGTTAACATCTAAACTCTATGGGTCCCTAGCAGACGTCACCCAGTACAAGCATGTTGGGGCCGAAGCTATAAGATGTGTTGGCAAACTTTGTCCAGTTACTATTGTTTCCCACTTTTATAAACAATGGTGACTTTCTGCAGCAACCACTCTTTAATTGCTAAATCAAACAACATCCTGCAAATCAATCACCCCATGACACTGGAACATTTTCAATCCAAAGGAAACTCTGCTGAGTGATTCCGGCAAATACACAACCAATAACAGATGATCCATGGCCTATCTCCAAAAAATCGGCAGTAATTACAACTCATCTCCGTACCGTCAATCACGGGTTTAACCGATGTGCTACTAAATACCCACTTAAGGGTTACACTGTCGCAACTCACTACCAATGTGATCATCTGTTTATTTATGGTTGATATTTTCCTGGCTTGACCCGGAGTTTCTTGTTTCATGCAAGTCTGCTGGTTCATGGTTTATATTCTTGTGATTAATGTTCAAACTTTTACGGTCAACTTAAAATCCACCGCTGGTCATATTTATGACCAAGCTTTTTAGTATCTGTTTGTTTTTAAACTCACTGCAGTAAGTCCTTGGCTGTATTTAATTATTTTTCTACTTAAATAAAATAATTTTCTACATGATTTAATCCGGTTTGTCCCTTTCTAGTTAACCCTTCGGACCACCCACTCTCTTGGTTGGTTCCAACCCCCTTTTTTTCTTTTGCATCACTGTCTGGTTACAGATTTGGTTGATGAGCCTCTTTTTAAAGGGTAACCACTAGAGCTTTGCATCTCCAGAAGTGAAACACCCCCTCTTTTTTTTTTTTTTTTTACTTTCTGCTGCATTCCTTTCCTGTTCATCTCCATTGGCTAAACATGGATATGATCTGAACATTCATATTTAGATACCTGCTGACCGACATAAATGCATCGATTTTTGGATTGTCCTGCATGTACAACCGGCCTTGTCTGTAGTGGATATGCATTTTTAATAAAGAACAGATAGTCAAACAGTTTGATTGCCAAACAAATCCTGAGACTAGAGCAGGTCCATCCTGAGGATTGCATAAACCTGGAAAGAGTGCTATGTTCCTCTTAACATGGTAGATGTAAATGAATAGTTATTTAGAAACTAAAAATTGCTTCAGAATGAATGTTAACCGTATGATCAAACCACTTCTATGTTTCATTTTATGGCTGTGAATACTTTCGGTCAGGAGATGTACATCTCTTTGCTCCAGTGTTATTACTGATCGTCTACAAGATTCTACTGGGATTTTGTTCAAACAGGTTTTTGTCCGGTTCTATGTAAGACTTATAAATCCTCATTATTTTCTAGTGCGCACTGGTTTCAACGGCATGAGATGTGTTTCATTCTTTGAATACCATTGTATTCCAATCAAGTGACATGTCTGGATTACACCTGACCAGCAAACACAGTATTGACCTGTGTATTGTCACCTTATCTTACACAGGACCTAGTGACTTCTGTGTCTGACTTCCTTCTGTCTCATCGTCTCTTTGTTTCTCAGTAACGAGTCAGCCTTTTTTATTAAAAGATATTCCAACAATTACAGTATCATTCAAATTAACAGTACTGCGAAGGTTACTAAGAATGAGTTATAGATGTGCAGTCACTTTATTAAGGTACAATTGTTTTTTTTTTTAAATAGTTACATAGTATTTGAGGTTGAAAAAAGACACAGGTCCATCAAGTTCAACCTTTGTGTGTGTTCTGCGTGCTTGTATACGAGTCCCTGTGTGGTATAGTATTTAGGAGTACCCGTACCCAGGGCCGGTGCTAGCCTATTTTGCGCCCTATGCAAGACCAGCTACTTCCCCCCCCCCCCC